CCAGATTTTGAGAGCATGTTTAGTTGAGCAAATGTTTCTACCTACAGCATTGAATTGAAGGATTTATCCTAGAAAATTCAGTCCCCACCCGCACCCCAGGAAGTCTGCAATCTTCTAGCTAGCATCTTATGCATCATTCATTTGCAGAAGTGCTTGAAATTATTCCCTAGCCATAGTAACACAATTATACAGTAGGAAGTGAGATGGTTAAAATAAACCCAATTAAGCCACTGGATGTATCAATTTGTGCAAAAACGTTCTAAAGGAGATACAAAGATAGCAACATTCATTTGTATGCCTACAGAAATTATCACCATTAAATTGACAGAACTACATATGTTAGCTAAAGCCACATGCTGATTCAGGGCAGGCTTATATACAAATAAGAAACTTATAATCATGAGGGGTAAAAAGATACTACAACAACCACACAAAACATCAGGGTGTTAAGAAAGATTGGAAAAGAGAACATGAGTAGTCATTTAATGTCAAACTATGTTACTGCTAGCATGTCGGTGCCTTTAGAGTTTCAGAGATGTAATTCCAGAAGACCCGCTTATCTAACTGACCATACTTGAAAACAAAGCCTGTTTACCTCCTGATCACCAATCACAAAACAAAGTGAGCTACTCTGCAAACTACAGGAGGCGTGGAAAGCTCATGCTGGGACAGTCAGATGTCTTTCAGCACACAAGGAACTCACTCTTCCAATTATATGCTACCTGTAATGAATAGTTCGACCCTGAGAGGAAGCACAAAACTATGTGGTCGGCGTTACTAAATACAAGGTTAGAACTATTTGGATTCTGGAGATTTCACTCCTGACAGTGCCTTCTAGGCTCCCCTTCCCTTACAAACTTATCTAAAACAGCCACCTTTAGAAGGTTTCAACAAAAAGACTCTTGGAAACCAGTGTGCAATTTAAGTCAGCTATACGCTTTCACACATAAGATCATGCCTGCTACAACCATACCAGCTAATTTGTTTCCATTATTTAAAGACTATTCTAACATCCTGAGGTCTGTGTTCACATTTATCAATGCCTCCTGATGCTACCTGGATGTCCCCTTCACAACAAGCCTGACAAGGTGCCTGCTCAATGAGGCCTGAAACCGCCTCGACATGACTGGTAAAGGAAATGGTTCAGGTATCGGCCATTTCTGGTCAGTCAAGGAGTGAGAACCTGGACATGAGTATGTCAGGGCAGGGAAAGAAAGGAAAGCTCCTAATATTTATGTTTGTTTGTTTTTTTTTAAAAAAGGTGTGCTATGGGGAAGCAACTTTAATTCCTGAGATTGGAAGCTGATGCTACAAATAGGCCCGTAAGCATTTTCTTAGCTATGTCACAGGGTTCAACTGACAGAAAAATCTTCCTTGGTCATCACAACCCAAAGAAAAGCATGGTCTTAAATACTGCTTTTCCAATCAGGAAGGAAACGTAACATGAAGGGAGCAGCCTGAGAAGTGCATGGGGCTCTCTTTCTTCCAGACGAAGCTGTGGGAGTCTCACGCGACCATTGGGCTCAGTAAAAATGAAAATGGAACAGGGGTTTCTAGCCAAATTGTCCATGAGGTTTTCTTCTTCCCCTTGAATTCAGTGGGCTGTAATCACAGACACTTTTCATGCTGATTCATTTATTGAGAGCCCGAAATTGGACGCCTCACACCCTTACGCAAGACAAGCATTTACAGGCTACTCACCACCAGCACTGGGGGAAACAAACAGCATGGCTCTTGGGCTTTCCCCCCAAAAAAACTATATTCAGGACGTAGCAACTCAATAGGCAAAATCTTATTGCATACAGTTAAACTGCCATAAAACAGATCTGGAGCTAGAAATAATTAGTTGGAATGAACTGAAAGTTTCCTCATGCCCGCCCCTCTCCCCAGACTCTCTCAAGCTCTCTTTTCTCCTGGGAAAGCCTTTAGGAGCCTCAGGATGGGGACATTAATAGTAAAAAAATTAAATACAAAAAATCACTGTTCAGTTGCTGCTGGTGGTCCCCATCTCAACAGCAGCAACCCAGCGCTGATTTTTGACAAGGACAGGAGGCTTTCAATTCATTTAAATTAATTACTTCTGGTATCAGATCCAGTTTATGATGCGATGACTTTATGCAATAGGATTTTGCCCCATGTATTATATTGTCTTATGTCTTAAATATCCATAACGACACAAAAACGGCCTGTTACGGGATTAATCGGTTTTCAATGCACTGTAGGTCAATGGAGACTTGACTTACAGACTTTTTGACTTGAGAACCGCCTTCCAATACGAATTAAGTTCTCAAGTCAAGACCCCACTGTATTGTCTTGTTATGGAATATCCATAATGACACGCAAGTCTGGTTTTTGAGCATAGACTTCATTGTTCAAATTCCTGTTTGACTCAAAAAGAAGATGTCTTGTGGCACTTTATGGACTAGCACATTTTGTTTGGTGTAAGCTTTGATTCCCGTTCCTCCCTGCCCTAAAGCTTCCATTTGACTCAGACAACAGAGCGCTTCCATATCTGCTTCCAAATCTTCTTTGATAAGAATTGTATGGTAATGGAAGAAATGCTCCATGGCTAGAATTGTGTTTGTACTTGCGTAACTTGCCAAGGCTAGTTGTGGCTAACTGAGATGTTGGGATGTCTCTCAGTTCTATACCTAGCCTAGTCCTCTATTGTGTAACCAAGTTGTGTCCCCACAACCTCATCAATTATCTGTGGCAACTTATGCAAACATTATGCAAACCCCAATGTGATTCCTGCCTAGGAATTTTAGCTTTTCAGATGGAACAAGGTTGGAAATGAGTATTCCATATGGCTTTGTTCATCTGTTCTCATCTCCCTAGACATTTTCTGCCATTCTCATGGGCCAGAATGAACAATTCCAGGACAGAGCTCGGAAGGAATATGTTACAAGAAACTTTGAAGCTAGTGACGGGGTGATGCTACATTTAAAAATCAGTGACGACTTTCCATTGATGATGACATTATTGCCATAGCACACATGGAATTGTTCAAGAGGATTTTAGTCACTGACTAAGGAGTTATATTTCTGGTGTAACAAATAACATTTGGTCCTTACTTCAAATCATTATTTTGAGAGGTCAGTTGGGGTAGTTTGCTTTTTGGAGAGAATATTCTTAAGAGGTTTCTAGAATTTAGAACTTAAAATCCCACTTTATTGTTGGAGATGGTTCAACAAGATTTAAGTGATAACTAGTATCTATCTGAGCCGTACCTGAGAGTACCTAGCCGATGGAAAAGTTGCTACCAGGGTTGGCCATTAACAGAACATGATACACACATGGTGGATCAGGCAGTACTGCGAATTATCTTATGATATAAACATACATATTATCATAGTTTAGGCTGGATCTTTGCTGTCAGAAGGACTGCCAAAGGAGAAGCATGACCTTAAAAGTTTTAAGGTAGCAAGGACACTCAGATGAATAATATAGTGTATATGATTTTTACAGAGTGGCTACTTGTAACAGTTTCCATTCTTCATCCCTCTGATGGCATTAAAAGGCCAATTGTAAGTGGGGGTAGATATTGGGTGATTTGGATAAAACCATTACAGCCCAGGTAAAGGGGACCCCCATCCAGGTGGTTTATCACACTCCTCATCTTGCAAAGACCTCAAAGCTTCTCCCACTGAAACCACCGTCAGCCCTTCTGCTAAATGTACACTCACCACAGGAGTTTCTGGCAAATACTAATGCTTGAAGTCAGAGACAGACTAGAAGAATTGTCTCCAATACAAAAGAGAGAAAGATTAGGAACAGAATGCCAAAACAGAATACATTAATCTTTAAGATGCCACAAGATTGTCATTTTTGCTGGAACAAACACACAGAGCTGCCCTTCCCTAAAAAGTTCAACCAGTTAATGGGAATTGATTTTGCCTTGCAAGACATATGGCCAAAATCCTGTTGCTTAGCATAGTAAATTGTACTAGAATAGCCCCACTGAATCAACGGGGTATTTGGTGAGTGCTGACTCATTTTTAAGGTCCTGTGAATCAAACTGGCCTACTCTAACAGTGACTTACTGTAAAGTAAAATGTAAGTTGCCAGTGGAATAGGCTGATTTGACTCAATGGAATTTTCAGAGGAGTTGACTCATCGCCACTGCTTCAATGGGTCTACTCTAATGTGACTTACTATGCGAAGCAACAGGATTTCAGGCAGTGTCTCCTTTCCGCTTCTTTCATTAACAAGGAGACAGAAAGGGAAGGGGAAATTCCTGCTATGGTTTTGGAATGAATGGTGATTGGGGTGCTTTTGGAATGAAGGGTGAAAGGGGTACAAGGGTTACATGTTGTCCACACTGCTCTATAGCCTAGAAAAACTTAATGCCTGTTCACAATCTTGCAGAAAACAGACCCAGGCCTTCCTCTGATTTTGAACAGGATTTTGGATCAGAACATTAGGCAGGTTTCTGGTTTCCCTCTGGAAACTTGATTCAGTATGTGAACGGTGAATGAGTAACGGGAGCCTCATTCTGAATGTATCTGCCTCACTTGGGTGTTATTGGCTGAATTACTTTTGCTCCTATTTTCCTCCTTGTAACAAGACTCCCAAATACCAACACAGAAAAGATATACAACAGCACACAATAAAAAAGGAGTTATAAATTTTTGTGCAAGATACAAATAGTTCAAGGGTGTTGCAGTCAATATATTGACTTACAACCAGAACTGTAGCACATGCTTTTTTTAAAATTTGAAGAGCAAGACGTGTGCATTAGCTATATCCCAAATCCTGAGTTGTATTTAGTAAAGCAGGGATCTGAATAATAACTGTTGGTATTCAAGTGTTAATCAGTAAATAATCAGTTCAAAGATTTCCTTTAAGGTGCACTTGGCTTGAGAGTAAAAAGAATTTTAGAAATTGAGATATAACGGCTTGAAATGAGCAATGCTGTCATTATAATCTATCTGTCCCTAAATGGGACCCCCATCCCTTTCAAGTTAGCCTTGCCAGCTTTATTAAATTCCAATAACATCTCCAGTGATAAAACATTTTATTCTATATATGAAAATCTCTCTTATTTAGTATGTTGCTACATAGAGATGGTTTCTGCTTCTGCAAGCTGTTTTATTTTGTGTCAAGAGCAACATCTGTCGTATGGCTTAGAGCTTCCCTTTGGGAAACAGAGCACATGAACTGTGTTCTTGCATGCATTTAGCTTACTAAAGTCAAAAAGGGACAAGCAGGGGAAGTTAAGGAGGCATACTTCCGGATCAGTAAAATTTCTCGAAATAAAACAACTACCATGAGCGCTGCGATCGCCATTCTTTCAGTCATGGCTTGTCAGAGGAAAACATGCTGCATTTACAACGGCGTTTTGTCTGGATCTGGCAGCGTGAGAGTTTCTGGGGCAGACTTTTTCCGTGGCCGGTCTTTGGGAACCACTAAGAATTCGGGCGCATCTGTAGATAGGGGTGTAGAGGGAGCACTAGAAGGAGCACTACGGATTGAAGAAGGAAGGGAGATGTTAGAGATTGATATTGCAGGCGGGACGATCCCAATTTTCTTGTTGGTGGCCTCCTGAGTGGCTCGTTCAAACTCTCGGACTTCATCCATAGTCATGTCTTCGGTAAGAAGGAGAGAAAGACAAACAAATGTTAGAAACACTGCACATGTTTATTTCAGTTACAACTTCTTTGTTCAGCCACTAGCCCTAACAATGAATTCTCATCCCAGTATCAGCATTTATGTCTTAGACAAATGTCCCATATTTGTTCCATGTGTAGTTACGTAGCCTGTATTTTTGGAAATGGCCATTGTCACATGGAAGCCATATCTCAACATCTTTATATCATTCCTGGAGCTGCTAACCATCAAAGGTATACTATAATTTGAAGACCAAATTACTGTATATTTTACAGAAAGCACATCATTACATGAAGAAATTATTGAAGTGCTAAAAGAAATCTGATTGTCACAGCATACAATTTTCATACAGTATCTCTTGTAGTTTGCATATTAGCTTGCTTTGTTTTGTGGTTCATCATAGGATGGTCAATATAGCTTCACTTGAAAGTATTATTTCTTAGACACAAAGGTCTACTAAAAGCAAATCTTGCATTGACTCGAGTTCATCTTCTAATGATGCACCATCTGTAATGTATAATTTGATCCTCCAATGTAAGTAATTTCCCACACTCACAAACGTAACATGAAAAAAAAAAATCAGCAACAACAGCAAAAACTAGTTGTGATGAGAAATGGTTTTAACCTAGTCATCTCCCTGACACAATACATTTCTCTGTGTAAAGAATCTTCTTCCCCATAGGAGATGCCTACCATTTTGGATACATGAACTACGATGTCTACTGCTCCCATTACAACTATGACTAAATTGTGTATATCTATGTCTGTACACAACATCACACAAGACGGTAACAGTGAAAACAACAATGAGATTATGACAGTGGTGATCATAATGTTCAGAGGGATAGTTAATATTTAGAGAAGGGTGATCTCTAGAGATATCCAAGTGCTCCTCTATCTCGATATAAAGACTACATCACACAGATCCCTGGCCAGCATTTGGGGAGCAATAAATGTCTCCTTGGGTGTCATGAGACTCCAGCACCCCTCTGCCTTTGGTCATGTTTGCTGGCTTGGGCCGATGGGAGCTAGAGTCCAGTAAGACTGGAGGAGGGACATAGGTTTCCCATCCTACAGAGCATGTTCACGTACAAAACTTTGATGCCAATGGCCATTAGGAAAAAAAATCATTATGAATTAAACAATGGCACTGTGGAATTTTTTTTCATTATGTATGTATGTATGTATGTATGTATGTATGTATGTATGTATGTATGTATGTATGTATGTATGTATGTATGTATGTATGTATGTATGTATGTATGTATGTATGTATGTATGTATGTATGTAAGACACTCGAACCACTGTTTAGTATACAGATGAAGAGCAATGCAAAACCCATTTTGGATAGTCTCTTAGACCACAATGAGTTCAGAGACAACGGAGAATTAATTGAGAAATATTTAGATACATCAGTGTTTGTGGGGTGAGGGGATCCCAGTGTTGTTGTTCTTTTCTGATAAACTGACCACAGTCAGCCATGAATTTATTAAAAATCAGCTGGTCAGTAAAATAAAACCAAAAGAACTGGAGTGCTTAGTAATACGGCTGTCAAAAGGAGCAAATGTAACTGGGTCCCAGAATATATATATTTCCTCATTGTGACAGGAAAAGGCCTTGGATTTTCATTCAGAAATATACTAAAATATCAGCAAGACTCTAGTACACAATTCCACCAGAGGGCAGAGTTATAAAAGAAAAACCAAGAATCCCCCCCCCACACACACAAAATTCCAAAGCACACTTCTTGCGTAATTCTCCACCAATTCAAAATTCACCATGGGTTCAGCAAAAGGTCATCTGAGATTTGCACCTCTCCTCTGAAATACAGTTTGGTGTTCTGAACACCAGCAAAGGCTTTATTATTCCCAACGCCAAATCCAGGATGTAAAGGCTATAGGATACAAAGCCAAAGCCAGCCTGGTTTCAGTTTCAGCTTATCTTTCGGGAACAGGAGACTCGGAATAGAAGAAACTAAGAGAAGCTCAAATAACATGCAGCTATGGATACTGAACGGAAGTGCTGAGCAAGTGGTTACCAGTCTCTTGGAAAGACATAGGAGTGAAACGGTTGAAAGCTGCCCCAAATTCTAACTAAAAACAAATTGAAATTATTTTAGCCACACATGTGGGATAAAAGGCTGAGAAAGCAATCCACATTTGTGTCAGTATTATGAGGCTGCTAGCAGTTTGTTCCCATACCATGAAATGAGTGGCTGGATAGATGTCAAAACCCACCATAGCAAAAGGCATCCAAATGGACACCACGCTGGGCATGACTGGGCAGGCCTTTGCACTGTAAAAGCTCCTTCGAAACTGGGGTCCTCTAAATGCCTGGGAACGTCTCTGGAGCAGGATAATCCTTTGATTTGGATTCCTGCCTTGAGCAGGGGGTTGGGCTTGATGGCCTTATAGGCCCCTTCCAACTTCATTATACTGTACTATGATTCTATGAGTTTGCCACTGTGGGAAACTATAGCGGGAGAATAACAAAGTCCTGATACAAGTGCAAGAATCATCTTCGTTTTACATCAGCAGTGTAATACTGAAATAAAAACCCAAATAGATTTTTAAAGTTGAAATTCATAGTTCCACTGTGCTCCAGGTGAAAAAGATGGTTGTTTCACCATGTTTTCCCACTGATGTAAAAGAACAGGTATTCACTGCCTGTTACCAATGTCTGTACTTTGAATCATGTGGGTTAAAGTGTAACAGCCCTCCTTGTTTCCATCTACTGTTTGACTGACACAGCCTGAACATTCATCTGGCCTTGAAACCATCAGACCAAAGCTTAGCCTATACCACTAAGGAATCTAGCCCATGAATGTCCTTGGAATCAAGGTGCCAAATAATCCCAGTGGACGATAATTTTGGTGGAGAGAGACTACCCACGCACACAAAAGAATGTGCAGCCTGTTCCTGGGGAAAACTGCTGGGTCAGGGTGTGCATTGTCTGGTTGTAATCTAACAGACAGCAGACCTTGAGGGAAAGGACCATGCTAGCCCATAACATGACCGTTCCTGTCAGAGAAAGTTAGGACACAAAATGACTGTTGGTTGCATTCCATCAACACTAAGCTCATTATGTCTTTTTCTGTCAGAAATGAGTCAACAGATTAAAAAAGCTACATACGGATATATTTTTAAAAAACCCCAGGAACTACAACACATCCCTTGTTTCATATTTGGAATACAAGGAAGGACATATATAATTAGGAAATCAAATGCTGATTTTGTTTGTCATGTCTGCCTCCTAAAAAAATGCAGCAGGTACACACATCTAATTCAGAACATACTTTCAGAAAGCACAAATAATGGTGTCTTTTTTTTTAAATGGACATTTGTTTTGAAAAGAGGGAGTGGCTTTATGACATCACTAGGAATCATCCAATCGGTCTTCTGCACAGCTGGTTCAGAACAGGAAGAATGGATTTCCACTGAATTCAATCTTCCCACTGGAATCCTTGTAATGCAGATTCAGCCCTCTATTTATTTGTTTGTTTATTTATTTATTTATTTATTTTTTAAAAATATATTTTTGTTCTAGGAGAAACTGGGCAATATTTTTAAAGACACTACATACACTTCCTTTGGCATGGCTTGCTATTTCATCCACAGGAGATGAATGTTCACTGCAAACTTTAATGTTCGTTTTTTCATGCATATTTTTCTCATATTCTCGGACATCCTCCATAGTCATATCTGAAAAAAGTTCAAGATGTTGGGATTTGCTATTAATGCCATTCTAAATTTTTAATTTTAAAAAGGAAGAGGCTAGGGGGGGCAGGGGAAAAAAAAACCTTTCCAGCAAAAGGCAAAAAGCGGGAAGCCAACTAGCTTTATGGGGAATCATTGCTAAGGAGAGTTATGTTAAACCGGCCAAGAAGTATAAGAAGGTTAAACTGAAGGAAATGATAGTACAGGGATGCTCGGAAGCCAGGAAATGTTTGTGAAATGAGCTTGGCAAGAGGTTGCAAGGTGCAGGCTTTGCTAGAGGCAAACATCTTCTAAAATTCATTTAGAAGATTTCCTGGGGGATGGGCCAGGTTTGGGAAGAAGGATCAAGGAGCTGGTCAAGAATGTGCTTACCTTGTCAGGAGCCTTTTAGCAAAATTCTACAGTATTATAACATGTTATTCTTTATAGTAACAACATACCTTTATTACTTAAACACTGTCAGGTTTTAGAGATTATGTAAGTCAAATAGTCCATAGGTAAAGGTAGAGAAGTTGAAAATACATGGAAGGAAAAGTCCTGACATATTTTTAGTTGTCATTCCAGAACCCTCCAGTTAACAACAATATACTAATCAGTTCCAACCCACTTTGGGGTGTGGACACAGGCATTTTGGCCTGGGGCAGCTTGCGGACCGAACGAGGGGCTCAACCCCAAAATGTGGGAAGGGGAAAAGCACCTTGGTTCAATCACAAACTGCCCTCATTTAGACATGTTTTAAAGCTCAGCAGAAACATTTATACACTATGCAGTGCTTATCTTTCTCTTTTCTGGAGGTTAGTGCTCTTACGTTCCAGTATGTTTCATTAAAGCATGGCTAAGATTGAGCATATCAGCATACAGTACAGTATTACCTCCATTGTACAAAGCCCTCACAATACTCCACTGACATGAGCCATAGATTACTGCACGCTTCTCCCACCCACCCACAATGCGGAAAGGAACATTAAAGCACTGAACAAAGAAAGTTACAGCAATGGAAATTGAATGATCAAAAGCACTTCTGCCAAGCAAAGTACATGCTCTTCAGTGGCAACACTTGTATTAATACTGAAATAATGGTGTCTTGCATATTAGGCTGCAATCTTACACAAAGTTAATTGCATATTTGGCTGCAATCTTACAAAAAAAACCCTAATTACATATTAGACTGCAATCTTACATATTTCCACCGCAAAATGAGATCAATTGAAATAGTGGAAATATTTCTGAGTAAAGAAGTTGAGGATTTGAGATTAGTATACAATAATGAGGAACAACAAAACACTCTGGTCAAGAAAATACGCATTTATACATTAAGCCCCTGTTATATAATACTATTTAATTCATCTGATACCATCAACAGCTGGACCTTTTATTTAATATCCGGCCTGAAATGTAGATAGAACAAAGACAAAGAGCTATTTAATCATCATACGCCTCAGAAAAAGCCCTCTGATATGTTGCTTCCAGGGCAAATACTAAAGACCCAAGTATTTGCAAACCCTAGTTATCTAAAGTAGTTTACCATTATCTGCCAGCACCAACAATCTAGACACAGGTTTGCCTGCAAAATGTAAATGCAACAGAAAGCTACAGCCACCTGCTGCAATGTTCTGGCTTCTCAAAGCCTATATATGGACCCTGCTTCTTGCAGGAGAGCTTTTCCTTTGCTGCCAGGATGTAACAAGCATCCAGGTTTTCTTGCTTTTGTGAACAGCCTAATGATCAAGCAAGCATAAAGAGAGAACAAGGTGAACCTCTGTCTCTACAGGGAGGCCCAACATTGTCTACCAGCTGTGGGCCATGGGCAATGTTGGAAGAACAGATTTCTCCCCTTGTATCGTGCTAAAGATGAAGTCCCTTGGACATGCACGCATATGACATGGGATGGAAGCCAAAATGTATACACACGGTGTATATTTTCTTAAAATATTATATGCATTATGGGGGTGGGGGAAGAGTATTTGATCTTTTCATGTTCTAGAGGTTTGGGCCAAAATCCTATTGCAGTTTTATTCTGACATCGTATGGTTGACATAAACCTTGTTGACAAACTGTTGCATGTGTAGAAATTAGCATAGGCACTTGCAGCAATTAGCCAAACTTACACCAAATGTGTTATGCTAGTGGGTGTAAGTGATAAGATTCGGGCCTCTCTACAATTAGTTTAATCCTTAGAAAGTGGTTCCAAAGTGCTCAAAGTATTGAAAATTCTTGGGGGTGGGAATGTCTGTGGCAATCTACCTTGTTGCCTCAGTTTATTTTGGCCTTCACAAGAGATCACGCCCTTTCCTTTCACGCTGCCACCAGGTATTTTCCTAATACTGTACCGACTATGTTATACGTGTGCTGCCAACACTAAGGATTATTGAATTTAGGACAGAGGGTGAATTAACAAAGATTCTTTTATTGACAAGTAAATCATAAAGGTAAATCAAGTAGGGACTATATCAGGTCTTAACAAGGATTTGACTAGGTATGCAATCACTTTTATTTCAAACTACTATGTACTTTTACTCAATATCTCTCTTATGGTACTTGTAACTTAATTCCTGCTTGTTCAATCTCATTTATCTCAATTCCTTCTCCTAACACTCTCAGCTCAAATCCCTAACTCTCTTCTTCTTACTGCTAAAACCCTAACGCCCATTCCTCATCTCCAACTGTCCCTCTCTAACTGTCTGTCTCTCTAACTCTCTGTCTCCCTGGCTCCGCCCCCTCCTGCTCTATCCTTAGCTCCTCCCCCTTGAGCTTCTGTGATGGACAGGCAGGAATGATGTCACCTTTTGGCATTCCACTACAGTCTCACTCCCTGACTCTGTGTTTGTGTGTATGAGTGAGTGAGCGACACACACATACACAGAGAGACTGATCCGTTCTCATTGCTATTCTCTAACAATGAATTCAAAACATTATAGTTTGCCCTCTACTGCAACAGTGGCTACTCTTCTGAGACTCATTTTTATCCATCAGGGTAGAGCATGAAGCACCAAACTGAATGTGCATCTCATGGACAAGGAACAGTTCTGCAATACTTCACCAAGAGCCTGAAAACCTATTATTCGTTCAGAAATATAGAGCTAGTAGTCAAAAGTCCTGTTCTGTGCAGACATGTTATTAGTTTGCGGTGAGGGGAGAAGATGGCATCATTCTTTGTCCTCCTTATGCTTAATACTGCATAGGGAATTTCCTTGCATGTAACTGTTATCCCATTGGATCTCTTGCTTAGGCGTTCTGGCCTAAGTCAATCTTCAATATTCCAAGAGAATAAGAAATGCAAAAGCAGTCCTCCATGATGGATAGCTCAGCAATGGATGTCAAAGCAAAGATAAATGTGGCACACAGTGAATTAAAACTTATAATATATTGTACTCATAAACGTGACTTACCATACCACTCATCCACCCAAGCAAAAGCCTGCCGGTGACCAATCATCAATATATCTCTGACCACCTGTAACAAATTAGATTTCTCTGAGATAAAAGGGAAAAATAAAGCAGAAAATGTATGAATGCTCTAATGCTGCCAGTGTTAGATGTTGCCTTTATCTATAGCTATGAGCCACATTCAAACCTCAGGGGTTCCATGTCTCCCAGAAAAACCACAGCAGAAAAGCCAGTGTTGATTTTTATGTGTTCACTTGTTGAAAGGTATACAGACAAACAGTCTGCTTTGAAAACAGCATTGTCAACAACATTAAACTGGTGGTAACTACTGCACATTGTAGGAATGGGTGTGATGAATAACTAGAATTTGAGCAGCTAGGTTAAATAATAATCACATGGCTTTCATTTTAAAATTGAATGTGTTCATTCTGTATGTGAAAGGCCAACGCCCTTCAAAAACTCTCTCCAGGAGACTGAGAATCAGGTCTGGGCCCGTGGGGTAAAAAGAGTACAGGCTGGCACAAGTATACAGCTCTGGAGAAAAACAGAAGATTCAGGGAAAGAAAAATCAGACTACTGTACAAACCAGGGAGAGACTCAGGCTGAAATACCTCCGGAGCCATGAAGCAGAGTGCGTGACCTTGGCAAAGTCACAAGTGTCAGCCTAACTTAACCCCACAGGGAAGACAGAATGGGCAGGAGACAAACTCTGTACTCTGGCAATATAAATCCTCGTAGGTCTCACCCTTGCATGCAAGGTCAAGGAACCAGAAAGTTGTTTTCCTCACCCTATGAAAGGGCAAGGTATTTTGTGGAGCTCCCTCCCATGAAGAGAACACTCTTGCTTTCCAAGTAAACGTACACAAACCATGCTTTCATACAGCCTTTATTTAAAGAAAGTACTGTAACACAAATTGTACAAAACAACCACAACTGCTGGTTGTGGCTCCTCGCCTTTGGAATAAACTCCCTCCTGAGAGCCGCATGGCCCCTTCGCTGGGCATTTTCAAAAGCCAAGGCTGTTTAAGCAGCCTTCCCTCCAGCCACTATTTGATTTATCTTTTCTTTTTTCTTTTCCATCTTGAGCAACTGATTACCGATGCTGTATATTATTGTTATATTTTAAAATGTTTTATCTTTATCTGTTGTTAGAGTGGTCGATTGACCAGATGGGCGGGATATAAATACAATAACAAAATAAAATAAAATAAAATCTGTTGTGGGATTTTTAAGGGATGGGATTGGAGGAGTTGTTTGTATCTCTTTAAACTGTCCGTCCATTCTCTGCTTCCTGGATGGGTCTGCTGTATTTTGGTGTGCTTCTCAAAGGGAAAGAAGTCAGTTTTTTTTCCTGCAGAGGCAGTTTGAGCAAATGATGGAGGCACTAACAAGAAAAACAACGCCATAGCATTCCTTTTCTCACCCACTCCAACCTCAAGGCAAGAAATATTATTTTGTCCCGGGTTGCACCAAGACAGCCTAAATCAATTCAATTGAGGGATTTAGAGATCGTGCTTCCATCCCTCGTCTACCTTGTATTGAATTCCTGATAGAAAAGAGAGAATGAAACCATAGAGATTACGACAACGATAGCAATGATGATAACTTAAGGAAAAGAAAAAAGAAAAGGAGAAGGTGGGAAGAGAACTCCTTCACTAACTTGATTACAGTCAAAAGGACTGTAAGACCCTCCTTTTATTCACATGTATGAGATTTATGTCTTGAATTTGTCAATGAATTTCAAAGATCGGAGCCATACCTAGCAATGTTTATGCCCAGGGCTTTACTGCCCTATTGATTAAGACTGGATCACGAGAGACTGACATACACAACAAGAGGACAGAGAGGAATGCCTGTTTCTGAACACACAACAGCCACACTGGTGCTACACTGACCCACCAACGTGTGTTCCCTTCTGTTCAGGGTGAGCATATGTGTTTGGTTGTGCCATGGTGTGTACCTTTAGCAGCAAATATCAGATGGATTTGGACTTTTCTAGCAGCAAATCTTTGTACCACCTCTGTTTTGCACCCTGAGCCAAAGCTCCTGTTGCCTTGCCCTAGTTGTATCAAGTCTGACAATCTGATGCTTGGCCACTTTCCTAAGAAACCTATACACCTTTATAGACCTCTAGGAGGGAAAAACAGAAGACTGTGTTAGTCATAGCTGGCATTTATCCCTAAAACAACTATAGTGGAGCCTCGCTAGACAGTTTCCCCGCATGACAGTTTTTTTGCTAGACATTGATTTTTTGCGACCGCTATAGCGATTCGCAAAACAGTGATTCCTATGGGCGAATTTCACTGGACAATGTTTGGTCCCTGCTTCGCAAACCAATTTTTGCTAGACAACGATTTTGACAGCTCCCTCTGTGCTCGCAAAACAGATGTTTTCGGGACCTAAGCTTCGCAAGACAGCTATTTAAACAGCTGATCGGCGGTTCGCAAAGCGGCTTTCCTATGGCCGATCTTCACTAGACAACAACGATTCTTCCCCATTGGAACGCATTAAAAGGGTTTCAATGATTTCGCTAAACAGTGATTTCAGTGGAACGGATTATCATCGTCTAGCGAGGCACCACTGTAAATTTAGTATGAAACCAAATAACCAATCCAAATCATAACAAAATGCATAAAGGTATAAAGCTAAAATGCCCCTTTGTTGGAATGATTCCAGGCAACATTTGTTTGTGTATTTCTACAAGCTTTATTCATCTACATTGTTTCTATGTTCTGTAAGCATGTACGTATGTGCATTGCTTAGGGACACATAGACACATGCTGTAAAGATGTAGCTGGAATTAAAATTCAGCTTTTCCTGAAGATCTGTGCTGAAAACTTTCTGCCAGTCTATTTTTTTGGGATTTGTATATACCAGTTGAGTATAATCCCAGGAAGCAATAGCCTGAAAAACAAGCAAATGACATGCAGTTTAAAGTGCTGATTGTCTTTGCATTGCTAGGTTGGGTTTGTTTTTTTTAAAGAGAGGAGTTCATGGCTTTGCATGGAAGAGGCAGAACAGAACTGGGGACATGGCACTAGGCCATGTCATGCTGGATGATTCATAAGGCCACAACATTAATCACTTTTTATCTCATTGTCTTCCAGGGACACCCCTGAGTTTGAACGGTCAGCAAAACCCCGTACATATAACAGCTTTGGATCCAATCCCAATGGTGATCTGACTTTTCTGGGAGGATTAGGATTGGTCAACCATTAGCTCTGCTTCTTTTATAAAAGTAAAAGTTTCGGTTCTTTTTAAAAGGCACTTTTTTCTGCTTAAAAGGAGAACTACATCATTGTTGCCTTTGGAGCTATTTCTGCATGTATTTACATGATTACTTTAGGCGCAATATGTCCAGCCTGGGCAGGATTCAGTGTGGAAAACCTGCTCCGAGAAGCATGCCAGAAATGTTTATAAAGGACACAGGCATCAATCAAAGGAAGCGAAGTCCAAGTTATTTCTTAAAAATGGAAAAACTGCTCGCTCCAGTGGTAGATTTATTATATGGGCTTTTCTAGCACCAGGATGGTAAGTGTTAGAAAGAAAGGCACAGGACACAAACATGAGCACAACTGACATTCTAGTATTACTCTGCCAGATTCCTCATTATGTCATCTGCAGCATTCCTTCTTCACTTCGTTTCTCTTCTGCCCATTTCAAACCTTGAACCAAAGATAAGCAGAATTGTGCAGAATTTTGAACACCTGCATTACTAGCAGACTCACATGAGCCAGTGAATACATCACTTGAGAATTTCTCTAATTCGTTTAGAAAGAGACGAAAAAATACAAATGTAGGGCTGTTACATTCTGGGTATGTACGCTTCTGTGTAGATAAGCTGGTAGGTAGTGCTAGGGAAGATCCAGTTATTGTGGCTGGAACCAAGAACATGGAAAAAAAATGTAGGCATGTGTTCCTGGACTGGAATCCTGTTGGGGAGTGCCTGCTTGTGTAGTGGATGTCACACCAACAATTCATTTTTAATGCCTTTGTCTGAGCAACATCCAGTTCCTCCTGGCTCAGCTGAACGTTGGCTCTCCATAAGGGAAATCACTGCTTGGGTGCCAAGACTTTGTACGGAAGTGGGAGTCTGGACTCATACAAGAGTCTACCCGCTGTATCTCTCTGGTTCTATGCAACAAGATGCAATCTGCTCCCAGCATCAGAGTGCCAACATTCGTGGTAAATCCAGGTATATGGTGGGGAGGAGATGGGGGGGGAGACGGGGGAGGGGCTTTCTGATTTATTCCCGTAAGATTCTATTTCTTGCATACCTTGTTAGTCAAATGCCCCCAAGGTATGAACACATTCATAAAGGGCTGGATTACCTGTCCTTCCTAAGCAATGCTTCTGTTTGCATTCTTTGGTTTCATTCACACATACATGGCTGAACAGCATCATCTCTTCTCATCTGAGTCACATGATATACTGCTCTCTTCCTGGATTAACTTTTAAGAAGAGCATGTTCCATCCCTTTCTAAATATCACCTACCCGTACTTTCACCAGCAAGTATGTTCTGTTCTTTCCCCCTTATTTGCCTTTCATTTATACCGGGCATCTCCCTTCGTATAAACAATACATATGTAAATTTATTAATAGATTTCTTATATAGGGAATCTCATGTTATATGAAAATACTTCTATAAAGATACATGCACAAATATGAGTGTCTGCTCCTAATTGAACAAAGAGTTGTTGTAACATCATGGATTATATAGATTTACACAGAAATTGTCCACGGTGGTAAGAGAAGTACACTCCTCCTTTAGAATAAATGCACACTTTATTTCTTGCCTTGTAATAATCTGTACTTCTAATTTCTATCAGTTTGTCCTTCACAGACATTTGGAGTTTTTCTTGTTATGGCTAAATTGATTTCAGGATATTGAAAATCTTGCAAATTCTGCTTCAAATTCTGTGATGGTTTCCACATTAAATCCCTGGCTAAATGCATGGCCACCAGTCCCTAAGGGGAAGCGCTGAAACCAGACCCAGACCCTCAGCGCCTTGACCTGCCTTGACCTTGGCAGCTTCTATCAAGGCACAGGACAGGGTGGCCAAAGAGCGCAGGGTACCACCGTCCCTCCACTCACCTTGTGGACAAACTGCTCTACTCGAGTCTGAAGTCCCCAGACTTCGAATTTCACAGACACCAATTTGTAGGAACACATGATGGGGTCTTGAGTGTCCCTCCAGCCTTCTTTCAAAAGGCCTCTCCCAGTCTTCTCTGATTTGAAGTATTTAGGATCCTACCGACAAGAAAAAAGAAAATGCTGATTAAACACACATGGAAATAAGCAAATCGATGCTAAGGAAGAAGATCTGTTTTGCAAGTTAGCATGGGAATAATATAAACAATTATTAATATAAGGGATTTTAAAGTAATCCCAACTTTTGTTAAGTTTTATCCTCCACTTATTCATTCTAGTACTGATGTGTGGGGGGAAATGGCATAAACACAAACTACACACAAACAGCCTCATTTGACATGGAAATGTTTATGAATTTCTCTCCTGGTAATCTAATTCCCCAAGCCAGCATTTCTCCTGGTTCTATACAATTTCATAAAGCAGCAAGCACTTAATGTACTTAACAGAGACATTTTAAATACTGTACATGTTTAGAAGAGTCTTCTAGAGCAGGGGTTCCCAACCCTTGGTCTGCAGCCCGGTGCCAGTCTGTGGCCTGGGCTAGATTGGTCCACGGAGACAGATTTCCCACGCACCCCGCACACACTTCCCCCGCACAGCCCCTTCACACATGCGTGCGAGGGCACATGAGCCCGTGCGAGTGCCCCCACCCCTTCGCACATATGCGCAAGTGCCCCTCGAGTGCATCCAACCCTTTGTGTATGTGCGTGAGTGTGCACATGCCTGTGCAATCACCCCCTGCCCCTTCATGCATGTGAGCGAGTGCTCGCACTCCCACCCCTTCACGCATATGCACGAATGCTGGGGGCACCTTCCCCAACTGGTCCATGGTGTTAAAAAGGTTGGGGACCACTGTTTTAGCCCCATTGTAAAAGTTTGTAACTATTCTTCAGTCTTAATATATGGCATACATATGCAACGTGCATATGCAAATTCTATACTGTATATTGTATCAGTGTTTTTGCAGCTGGAAACCAGTTTTAACCTTCCGTTCAGGTTCTGCCTGCAGTGTTAAGAAGCCTACAGAAAAGAGAGGCTCATCCTGGAACCATGACAAGCGAAGAAAAACCAAATTGTATTAATTTATTTAATTTATATGCCTTTTTCTCACAATAAAGGAACCCAGGGGGACTCATAATTAATTAAACCAATGCAATCAAACACAATGGAACATAATATTAAAAAACGAAGAGATAACAATATTTAAAACTCTATACCTCAGATTGTTAGGGGGGAAATTGTTAGCCGCCTAGAGTGGTCCTGATCCGACCAGATAGGGGGGATATAAATAAAATAAATAAATAAAATAAATATACAATATAATGTTTTCTTGCCCAAATCTGTGAAAACCCTGCCTAAAAAAAGAAAAGCCTTTATCTGCCAGTAGAGAGGGGAGGGGAGGGGCAACTCAGCCCCCTGGGGAATGTGATCTGTAGCCAGAGCAGACATCTTAGGGAATGAGTTCCATGGGTCTACTAACTTCAAATATGCAAAGGCATTCTTGGCCACCACTGATATAGGCTGAAAGTAAGGGTGACTGACTTCTTTAAAAAATGATAATAATAATTTTAGGGAGGAACTTTTGCTTTGGAAATTCAGCACACGCATCTTTGTTTGGCAATAACTCTGAAAAAGACTTCTGATTATTCAGTTATTTCATTCCTTTCATTCTGGCCTTCAATCTTGTTTACTTCAGTCTTTGATCTTGTGTACCAGGAACACAAGGCAGTTAACCGTAATGAAGCAATTAATCTAGAAAGAAGGAAGCTTTAAGGGCAAACTAGGGCTGCTCATACAGTGGCACCAGGGCTATGGAACTACCCTGAAGTGGATTTAAGTACACTTTAAAAACACCTTTTAAATCTGGAAGTGAGGATTCAAACTCCCACACCCTGGTTCTGGAGTCAGGTGCTCCAACCCACTGAGCTGTATTGGCTCCTTAATAATAGCTGTTGTTATAGGAACCCTAACAGGGTTTTTGAGACAAGTGAAATATTTAACGAGTGGTTTTACCACATCTCCCCTAGTGAGTGTCCATGGCTGGGTGGGGATTTGAACCCAGGCCTCCCAAGTCCTAGTCTGTTGCTTTATTTACTACACAGTACTTGAAATCTTGTAACGATGGTACCCGATAGTTATTCACAGCTATTTTCTAAATGTGGTTACTGAATGTGGTGCAACGGGTAGAGAAAGGGGTTTGGTTTCCTGGCTCTGCCAAGGAAACTCACTGGGGGAATGGAACTGGTAAAACCACCCCTTAAATATTTCTCTTACCTTGAAATGAGGGCTGTTATAAGTGAGTTCTAACTTGATGGCACCTCACACAACACACACAATCTGTTCCAACTTGACCACACATAACATTTTCTAAATAAATGCACATTTCAGACATTATCATGTCAAATCAAGACTACTTTGAGTGGTCAGCAAATATATTTCTGAAAATGGTGACTTCAATTCCTCCTTCCTTCACAGACAGTTATGGCCTTAGGCTTCTTTCTTTCTTTCTTTCTTTCTTTCTTTCTTTCTTTCTTTCTTTCTTTCTTTAGCTCTAAGAGGAAAATCAAGCACAGGGTGGCAGCAGTGTTTTTGCCTGGTTAGCACCCAATACCGAAAATGCTATTTTTAAAACAGTCTGCATTTGTCATTACAATGTACTGAAATATGGAGCAATTTGTGTGAATTGCTAGCAAATTTAGTCTGCTGAAATGAGTTTGCCTCATAAATTATGTGTGACAGAGAACAGAGACCAAGGGAGGGCATTCTAAATTAAGTGGTTAAAATAAGGTCTTAATAGCAGAACAATTATGTTCTGAACAAGACAGATGGTGGATGAAAACCCGCAACAGTGAGGCAGGAGTGAACCTTCATGCTTTCAGAACAAGGATTTGTAGTGATCTTGAAAGGGCACAAATCCTATTTTTAGAGTTTTAAAAAACCCTGACCTCATTGAGAAGTGAATTCTGTTTAGCCTGAAGACTGAGGAGTGTAAAACAGTATACCTGGCTTCTAGAACACAGCGTCATGAGCTCAAGGGAACTTCACATTTGTTTTTATTTTAACAGTATACATGCCTGTGCGCACACACTTCATAGCATTTTACAGTGGCGTTTGGAAGTGGGAGTTTCCGTCATAGCTTTGTGGCACAGCATGGCGAGGCAGGACTGTTCAGCAATGGCTCTTTGGACTCTGGTCATGAACTTTATTTCCAAACATGGACAGTTTTATATTTCATGTAATTACTCATCAGGAATGTTGGCACGTCTTTGGGTCCAAGTCCTGAATTTGAGCCTTTCGGTCTGAGTCCCAAGTCAGTGCCTCGAGTTGTCTCCTCTGCTCCCTCCCCCCGGGCAGACAACTCCGGACTTGAGGCTTGGGACTCACTCAGACCCTGCCCAGGTGTCACCCAGCTGATAGGCTGGGGCCTGCACAGGGCCGGGGGGGGGTCAACTTCCCTTCCCAGAGCTGGCCCCTGCCTCTGAACATGCACCGGCTTATCAGCTGGGTGGTGGTGGGTGCATAGGTGGAAGCAACAGCTGGATCCTGGAAGGGAAGCCAGGCCTGCTGCCTCTAAGGATGGCAGGAGTGGCGGCCTCCCCACCCCCCTTAGCTAATCACCCTGATCGAGGATCGCCTGGGCTCCTTAAAGGCCATGGCAGCAGAGGCAGCAGCGGCAGCGGCAGTGCAGGCTTCATGGGGCTTGCAGGCTGCCTTCTGTGAATGGCCACCTCCCAGCAGATTGCCCCGATCTGCTGAAAAGTGGGCTCAAGGAGCGCCCGGACTCCTTGAAGGTTGTGGCGGCAGCAGCAGCAGCGGTGGCGGCCTGGTGGCTTCGGCTGTGCAGGCTTCTAGGGTCCTGGGCACTGTAGCCCAGTTGATGGCCCTGGTGCACTGGGAGGCAGGCTCAAGGAGTGCCCAGATGGGCGGGATATAAATCAAATAAATAAATATTTATTTATTTATTTTATTTATATCCTGCCTATCTGGTCGGTTAAGACCACTCTATAATATAAATACAGGCTCCCTGAAGGCAGCACCGCCGCTGGGGGGGGGTGTTAGAGTCAGAGTCAGGAGCAGGTAGAGAGGCCCCTAAGAGGGACTCGAAATAAGACTCACGAAAATGGTTCTGAGTTGCAAGTCTGAGCCTTTAAAAAAAAGAGAAGACCCAAGTCGAGTCTGACTTAAGTTGGACTTGACAGCGACTCGTGACTCCCCAACCCTGCTACTAATCAAATAAAGCTGTACTTCCTCATTTGAGCTCCATGCTTATGTTAGGTATTATGTTTTGGAGCAACATTCCATTACAGACCTTTTTGGAAGGAACCTATTCTTTTGATCCATTTCAGCCTGCATTTAGGTCTGGTTTTGGGGTGGTCGTGGTGACCCTGACAAATAACATTCTTCAAGAGAGAGAAACCAGGAAAGTGCAATTGCTTGATGTCTCATCTGTTGGTACCGCTGACCACAGTGTCTTCCTAGCCCATCTCCATGCTGGCATCCTACTGAGCTTCCACTGAGCCGAATGTCCTGCCATGTAGTAATGTGGGATCACTCCACTTGTGCATGTACTACTGTAGTGCAAGCAGGGGGCAGATGCTCCTCATGGAGATCACTGGTCGAGCAACAGCAATGTTTGCACAAGCAGCAAAATCTTTAGATTGTTTCATGCAATCCTGTTCACATATATTCTTAATTATTCTCGTGGACTGAATGTTTCAATACAAGAAAGAGGAAAATATTGTAGCACCATTCCTGAATAATATTAGTACTAAGTAAGTATGTATCCGTGAAGGCTTTCATGGCCGGGATCTAATAGTTGTTGTGGGTTTTTCAGGCTCTTTGGCCATGTTCTGAAGGTTGTTCTTCACCAGTCTCTGTGGCCGGCATCTTCAGAGGACAGCACTCTGTGCTCTGGTGGTCCTCTGTTTCTTCAGACCTCTGAAGATGCCGGCCACAGAGACTGGTGAAACGTCAGGAAGAACAACCTTCAGAACATGGCCAAAGAGCCTGAAAAACCCACAACAACCACTAAGTAAGTATGTTTGGTGAGAATTATGTTGAAGAACTGCAGTGAGATATTCTTGAATTTGTTTCTAACA